ATATGATCGATTATTACAGTATAGGTTGTACAATACTTTTCTTAAAATGCATCCATATCGAACCTGAAATAACAAATTGTTTGATTAATGATTAATATTTATTTTCTTTATTTTTATATATATTTTTTTTTTTTTTTTTTTTGGGAGCTACAATATAATCAAAGGGAATTTCAGATTTTAATAAATGTTGATAAAAATATTTCCAGCTATAACTATTGAACAACATAAATCATTCGAAGTTAATTTGTACGATTATAAATATTATTATTTTTAAAATCAGTAGGTTAAAGCGAAGAATCTATTAATTTTAAAATGATTAATAATGCTATATGTTCGAAAGAAAAAAACAGTAACCGGGTTTCAATTAATGTGTATCAATCAATCACATAATAATCGATCGAAAATAACTTTTACTTATTCTTGTTTGACAATTGTTATTATTTTTAACAATTTGCCATGTTCTAATGCGAGTCGTAAAATACTATAACTTGACAGATTCAAACAAATATGGTGTGTCTTTGAAACATGTTTGTGATTTAATTGATGATTTTTAATTCCCTTGAAATTGAAACTAAAATATTTAATTTGAATTCAACAAAAGACTAGTAAAAAAAGTGTTCAAAAAAATTGAATTATATTTGTATAAAGATTGTATTTTTCCTATTTTCAATTAGAAAAAATAAATTAAATAAAAAAATCAGACATTGAAAGATGTAAATTTTTTAAATTATAATTTATCATAGCATTATATTTAATGAAACAAAATTAAACTTTTTTTCTTTATTAAAAACGAACGATTTCCTATTAAAAATGTTTAACACAAACGTAGTATATTGTGTCTTACTTAGAGTTTCGGAATTTATTTTGGTTCCACCTACGGAACTCGTCTAACCTGGTCATTATCTAGAAAGTTTCCGTGTTAACTGAGAAGTGGTAAAAACAAGGAAGAGGATTGCTGTTATAGCTTAAATAAGTTTAATTTGCTGGATTGCTGAAAATGAAAACTCATCGGTGAAGCGAATTCCAGGCGGCCTACATAGGTTAGGCCGACATCGGTTGGTGCACATTACGATCGAATTTAAGTGATCGGTACTCCAACTTGTTTCATCAAACATCGAATATGTTACATATGTAAAGAAAACTGGCTTCGTTTGTGGATTAACGTTGGTGTGCAAAAACAGTACAGAAAAAATGTACTTCAAGTAATTTTTTCGACCAACGATAAAATGTTCGAATGTAATAGTCAAATTTCTTGTTAACGTATGGAAGTGAAAATAATTATTCCATTTATTTATTTATTTATTTATTTTTATTTACGGTCAGAGAATCGATAGACGTAATGGGAATATTTTCTCTCGAATCGTTTTCATTTGCAGTATTTCTGTTACGCGTGATTTCATTAACGAAACAAATCTACAGTTTTACGTGTAGACTTGTTCGGACGAACGAAATCATAACCACGTACAGAACATTCGTGTCATATTATATTATCTCTGATGAATCTGTACTGAAAGATCATTTGTGGTTATGATTATCGTACATTAGATCGTACGATTGAATACGAGAAAACAAGAGCGTTAAATTAACATATGGTAATATTAGAAAAACATGCAGTACCGTTTTGATAAGCAATATATTTGATAGTTAAAATTTTATTTTTGGTCGTTTTGGATATTTTTCCATAGGAAAATTAATGTTTCGATTAATTTATGATATTCATGGGTTTAAGCTGTAAAATTGTCAAATACTAGTCATAATGTTAAATATTTTCCTACATTTGAGTTTGTAATGAGAAGCAATAAATAATAATAATAATAATAATGTTATCGTTGCAGTTAAAATCTAGACTGTTGGTTTGTACGTACGTGTGTTTGTACAGCGTACTCGAGGAAAAATGAATAATTAGGTATTCGACTTGAAGACGTTCACAAAGCTGGTCAAATTCGGATTACCGTTTTGTAATGAGTACGGTAAAAAATCTTTGAGACTGTTTCGAAGTAGTCTACGCATATTAAAAGTATCCAGTATACAAAAATTATGTCAGCTTTTGTTTCAGAGTATCACACAAATGCAATTTTGAAATAGTACAAATCTTCGAAACTATAAGGATAAAAATAGTAATATTATTTTTCCGAAAATACATAAACTGACCCAAAAAATGAGTGTATAATGTTGAAAAGTGCATTATACCCATTATCGAGAAATATAAATATTAGAGAATCATTGAATTATGAATATATATTTTATTATCTTATTACCAGTTTGTGTATTCAAAAATACGATAAATGATCGTCATCTGCGAAAAAAAGAGTAAAAATTGTGAAATGCATAACGATGTGTATTCCGTTACGTTAAAGCCTTTAGATCACGAGTTCTGCTCAAACCCATTTTCGTAACTTTTTAAATTGTACAAGTACGACGTTTTAATATATTTTAAAATGAGTAAAATAGCCTGCATATATGCGAGTATATATAGTTTATATATATCTGTGATCGTAGTCTGTGGTTCTGTGGTGGCACCATGACCTATGATAAATGTCCTAATTACGTCATTGCACGCATAATGTCGTTCGGGACATGAATAAGTCTATTATATTACAACTTATTTCCATCGAACCTGATTCGGACGACGTTGTAGTTTAATTATATCCGTGTAATGAATTGGTCGAAATTCGTTGGAAGACAAAGAAAAAAAGATAAAACGTTAATTCTAGACATCGGATAATTTGTTCGTATTATTAAAGAATAAAATATTTCTGCGTTAACATAGAACGAACAAGATTTTTTCCAATATATACAACATTAAGTTGTACACCGAACTCGGAAACAACTTAGATACATAAATGTCTTATAATATTTGCCATATTTTCGTAATTTTTATTTTTTCCCTCACGTCACCGATGTCCTTGTCGTGTTATGTTTACCTATACATAATAGTAGATTCTACGAAAATTGTTTTTTTTTTATTTCGTACAAAAAAAGTCAAATATACTCAATGTTGTACGTGATTGCAGTCTATTATTTCGTTTACCACGTAAATCTTCGGTTCAACTACTCAGCAAACGACAATAATATGGTTCTACACTTCTCCTTTGAATATTGATTGAACCACTGCGTATTTCATTTCGCCGGCATTCGTCTGAAACAAGAAAGAGGTGGTTTATATTAGGTGATATTTTTTCACATGGTGTAACATAATGTGTGAATTATTTGGTACGGCCTTTACCCTGTCGTGTCTAATCTGTCTCCTTTATTTCTGGTATTCTCGGGAAACGGTTACCCGTAAAACTTTCTACTCAACAAGATTTATCGGAGTCGTACGTGAAAATGAATGGATTCTTACCAAAACAAACTGAACACATTTCTGTATTAGTTGAAACACCCGAACGCACGCGAACAGTGAACGACGGTTAATTTACGTATATGTGTGTATACATATACGGCGGGATTGCGGGTTACATGAAATTTTTGAAAAGGACTGCGATTGAATATTTATGCACGCGAAACTTTTGAACGAATTTTCGAGAAACAAAATTCGTTTTTCATATCCGATTCTCGTAAAAACTCAAACCGTAGCTTGATTTATTCTAATAAAAAAACTTGATCCGAGTGTGATGACAGCCCCATATATTTATCGTGGTACACGTGTCTGGTGATGGTTGATTAATTCTTCTTGGATCACGCTTTCTGCGCACGACTGAAATCGATAAATAAAAGTAATAAATTATAAATTGGCTTGGGATTTTTTATTACTTAATAGAGTGTACCATAAATTATCATAACTCATAAGTCGTATTGGTCATAATAATCGTATAACGAATTGTACGAGTTACGAAAACGCGGTGGCAACTTTTGATGTAACGGTATTGAGGTGATAACATGATATATATTTTACACTCCCATTCGCATTACACGTGATGTCTTACTACTGCCGGGTAAATTAATTTCAAAAACAACGTTTTTTATTGAATTTATGTTGAAATTAAATTGGCCTGTACACGTAGAATCGAATAATTCAGTTTATCTCCTTTTTATTTTATTTTATTTTTTTTTTTTTAGTGTAGTGACTCACTCTCATCATAAAATAAAAATACTTACACTGTAAAAAAATTTGTAAACATGAGTTATATTTAACCTTAATTTGTTCAACGTACTCAATGTAATATTATAAGGCAGCGGTTCTCAAACTGTGCTCTGCGGAACCCTAGGTCTCCGCGGAAGTCAAGGGGTTCCGTGAGCGTATATTGAAATATCTAAATTTAAATATTATTAAATATCTTTGTTATTGAGGAAAAACACTAGTTACCTGAATTTCGCAACGAGTTATACGTTTTAGTGATACCAATTTTATTTACAACTAAGAGTTCTGATAAAATTTGGTTATTATGACTTCATAACTTGGCTGGTATTTTTGCAAAATTAAATGAAGTAAATTTATCAATACAAATTAAAATGACCAAAGTTTTCATAGCAAATAAAAAAAGCTGAACTTTAAAAAAATAAAATTTTGAACTGTGTGTTTTTCTCAGTATGAAATATTAATAATTATTATTGTCTTGAATATAAATTCCTGATTTTCGGGGCTTCGTAAATTTTTTTGAATACATAAGGGCTTCGCGGACAAAAAAGTTTGAAAACCATTGTTATATGGTATAAAGTCGTTACTCTTCAAACACATATATCAATTATTATTATAATTTCACAACCATTTTATTCGTAAAACGAGAAAATAAAACTGTTCCAACGGATAATACAAAACGATTCCAAATAAGCGAAATATATATAAAAATTGTTTTTTAAAAGTTACTCTTTTGTAAGTTATGACATTATAAAATTAAGAAGCTTACCCATCGAAAATTATATTAACAATCTGCGAAAAAGATGTATTGTTTTAAAATTAACATTTTTCTTTTACACCATAATGAATAATTTATTCATGCTTGGTCGGTATCTACGTTATTACGAATATTGTAAAAATATAGTTTAATCTATTTCTATAGGTATCGTGGATACGAATGCGTGATTTACATATTCTTACTTCGGGACAACTTTTGTTCACCAACGATTGTCGATTTGGGATTCAGCATCCACTTAGAGACTCAGCTATTTGGAACTTGCAGATCAAGGATGTATCCCCTAAAGATATGGGTTCGTATGAATGTCAAGTAAACACCGAGCCAAAAATCAAGTTTCTGGTTAATCTCACTGTATTTGGTAAGTGTTAAAACAAATTTTATTTTAAAACTATTACAAATAATGTGTATTTCACGTAATCAATTATAGTAAAATATTCGATAGGTAGTAATTATTGTGAAACTATTCGTGTCATTCCATGTCATTGTGATTGAAAATTATATGCATTTCAAACATAACATTAGTCGATACAATTGTACATTAATATTGTAAATTTGCATTAAACATATATGTATATACTTAAAAACGAAAAACGTGAACTCTACATATTTGTAGAAATGTTGACGTTAATCGATTGTGATTCGAAATTTGTAAATTAATACAATGCCTGAAGCTAAAATAATTTGTAAATAGCAAGATAGGTAAAATATATTGATTTCGAATCTGTGCACTCTTCTCGTACGTATGAATTGTATTATAATATTGGATATCAATTACAATTTGCTATCTTCTATCTAAAATATTTATCTAAACATGACCAAAAATATTACGTCAGAAATGGATAATATCTTGTACGATAATTTCTTGCCATTCTTCATAATTAATTAAATGAAAATCGATATAAATATTTTTTAAAAGTAAAAATTGTTGTAAATATGAAATTATTAACACAGAGTTTTTGAAATTTCCCCTAGATCAGATAAATAAAAAATTGTGAATCAATTACTCTTTATTTCATTCAGAATTGTAAATAATAAAAAAAAAAAAAAACTCTTATGAAGTATTATTAATACTAACTTGCAATTAACATTAAAAAGAAAATACCATAACATATGTTCAACTAACCACTTCAACATCGACTGTTCTCAGTCAAATACTGTTAAAAATGTTTTTATATTTTCATTCCGATTAAAAAATGAATAAATAACAAAAATCAATTTTTTTTAGTTTGTATTTAGACATTTTTTTATTGTTTATTTATTTATTTTTTTAAATTAATTTAGTTATATTCAAATAACAACAATAAAATAGTATATAATAATGATTAAATGTTTAGATATTTAAAATATTTTATTTTGATTGTATTTAACAACTTTTTTTCATTTTCTTTTCTATTTAATCTATTCTGAACAGTCGCGATTATTCAATTGGGTTGCTCACACGTACTTGATGTTCACTCTCTTATCTAACATAATGTTAATTTATTATTTTTAAATATTAATTAACACCGTTCTATTTTCCTCGTCGTTTTAATTTAATCATTGCATCGACACATGCGAAATTCGTCTAACTACTGCTCTAAAATATTTTAATTGTAATTTTAACCATATTACCTCTGACCGTTCCTGTGCTGAATGGTATACCCAAAAGGACATCAAAAGGATCATGATATTAAAACTATTTAAACAATAAATTTCCCTCGATTTATTTTGAAAATTCATAGCTTGAAATTATGAAAGTTCGCTTTGATGATGAAAACTATTGTTGTATAAATGCAAAGAATTCCCCAAAATATACCTTTTTATCCAATTTTTGATAACGAAATTAAGTATATCAGTTTTCAGAATGAAGCGCAATCAGTTATAATTTTGTTTTTGAAAATTATTGTTATATTTTATTTTTAAGTCATATATATATAATAAAAATATTATTTTATCAAATTCAATACTTATTATTATAAAGTAAAAAAAAAAAAAAATATTTAAATCTATTTTAATATTTTTTTATAAAATTAATTTTTATACTTAATTGTGGCAGTTGCTATTTATCAATTTTTGGTCTAGAAATATCGTGATAAGATAATATTTTGAAAAAATCAAAACGATATCGACGTTTAATAACATGTATCGTACAAGAAAATTAAACTTAAATCAAAATTCATAGAATACTCGTGTATATATATATATATATATTACTGTTTAAGATTGTCTGTAGACCAACAATAACAATATTATTTTTAGCTCGTTAAGAAATTAAAACCTTGCGAAAAGAGATTTGTAAGTTTTAATTAATTCAGCTTTGTTTATTTTTATCGTGCTTATTTAAATTATTCGACTATACAACGAGAATAAATATGTGTAAAAAAAAAAATAAATAAATAAATCTAATACATTTAGGAAAGAAGAAAAACAATATTGGAGTAACAAAAACTTTTAATTATTGTGCCCGTAATCTAACATCCTAGCATTGTTTTATACACAGGCACGAGATACTGTTCCCGGTGCTGTTGTTGTGTGTTATCTAATAAAGTTTTAATTGTTCGATACTTACATTGTAAGTTTCACGGCCGTTTAAATTAATATCAAAAATAAATAAGGTGAACACACGTCGAAGAGATCGAACACTCTCGTGAGGTTATCAAAATGAACGAACTTAACGCGTCTACAATACGTGTGTTCTTCTTTCCGTACTAGTTTTTGTTTTTATTTTTTTTTTTTTTTTTAATTTGTTTCGATTGGGTAGACAATAGAAACTGAGTGTATTATGTGATAACGCTATACCAAGAGAAACGATAAGTGAAACCTTTCGCTGGACGAAAGCAACGAACGAAACGAAGGCCAAGTGTATTTTACATGTATGCATTAAAATTAAATATATCGATGTTTGTCGCATACTTCGTTTTGTTTTTTTTTCATATTTTACTAATGGAATAATTGCACTTTACACAATTACCATTGATATCGGTTTATTATTATTATTTGTAAGATGATTGAAGACGCGTCGGTACCGACATGGTTACTGTCAATCATCGGTTTAAAAACAACACCGATGTTCATAAACAGTACGACGAGTAGGATTAAACATATTTCGGTTCGTGATAATGTCATGTGTTGTGTGAGACCAGGGTTCACGATGCCCGTTGGGCTAAAAACAACCAGCGGGAACACACAGATTTTCTCATGTACAGTATTACAAAATATTTTATAAACCAATCGTATTCGGAAATAATAAGTCTTTATCGATAATTAAATTAAGCCCATGATCTAAACGCACACCGCACATTCACTGCGCTTTAATAGGTTAACATTTAATGCCCTAAAAACGATTTCGACCCATGTATTTTTCATGGAAAACAATAGTTATGTCATTTCAATTCGTATTTTTAATTTAATTTTTTTCCATTATTTAAATTTCCAATATCGATTCATGGACTTTTTTTGATCTGTGGTATATTACCCGTCATTTTGACTTATTGATACGTCACTGACTGACAAGTATCTAGGGGAGGAGGTGATCCTTAATATAAAGTATTTGTATATGTTTAATATTTTTATATCTTTACTATCCCCCTAAAAGTATGTATACATTCATATTTGTTCACTTAAATTTTTGATAATTTGCAGAAATAAAAAAATAAAAATAAATAATTAAAAGAAACAATAAAAATATATCTCATAGTACATGGGAATCATATACAATTCGAACAAAAAATAAGTTCCTTAAAACGTATACAGAGGTATTATATTTGTTCATCTTAAGAACTTAAATGTTTATTACTTTCCCTTTGGAATCAACTTTTTGTAATTTCTCTGCAATCTCAATACATAATATTATAAGTTTATGCAATGTTGGATAATATTTTACATATTTTATTAGAGTGTTTTAAATTTGACATTTATGATTACACAATCATTTTTTGGGAATATATTACTGGTGTTCATCTGATATTGAAATGTGGCTCTAAAGTAACCTGCCTGAAAAACATTTTGAAAATACATTGTATTTTGGTAAAGTACAATCCTTCGTATGTCACTAAACGAATTATCATTGAATTGGCTTATTTTATTATTCGATAAAAGTACGTTTGATTTTTATGATCTATAAATCATTATATTTCACTTCACGCTTAATATAATGCTTTGAATGATAATAGTAAATCAAAAAGTTTTAGAGGGTCACAGGAGCATATGTCTTTAGATTTTAAAGCAATGTTAAATTATATATAATTCAAAAAACGATTTAGATCCTTCATAAAGTTAGATTAACTGTAATTTACTAAGAATTTAAGTTCTCATCAAAAAATAAGTTACTTCATAAGAACTTGAGATATAGTCAAAAAATATAAATTTAAAATAACCTTATACTAAAATTATAAGTTTTAATAACATAAACAAAAAATAATAAAATAAATTTAGGAAAACAATTTGTCAGCATTGAGATCCTGGTAACATTTTAAGATAGGATATGATAATAATATTCTCTAATAAAAACCTAATGTCTTTAATAATTAATTTTACAAAAAAAAAAAAAAACTTTATATATAAATATTCATAAGTAGTAAGTAATGAAAATGACTGAAAAAAAATGTTTATCTAGTTATCTCTTATCACATTTTTATTAATTTTTAGTTATTTAATTATACTTGTTTCGATATTTAAATTGTCGTCGTAAGACCATCACAATCGCGTAACCGCTGCAACCGTTACCAAAGATGATTCCGATGAACCTAAGAGACGAGTTGTGGTATAATGACTCTGAACACATTCACGTGATTAATGTGACTTATTGTGTAAAATTATATTAAAAAACTAACAGCACTTGGAACGCTCTAAACCATTTACTCAACCGAAAAATGTGCTAAGTAAATATAGGAATTTATTCTAATATATATTTGATTCGACCTTTAGACGTTATATTGTTATGCTGTGTATACATTGCAGTACCCTGTGTTACATAAATATATATATTAATATTATTGAGAGTTGAATATAAGGTGTCAGCATGTACAACTCGCCTTGGGCTACGTGACTGTGAGTTTCAATAGTCAGCAGTTCCGTCGATAAACTAGCCGACGGTTCCCGCGGTAGAATAGTAAGCAGAACATTTTTTTTTTTTTTTAATGTTTGCAAATTTATTAGACCGTTTTGAAAAAATTCAATGTATAAACAACGTAAAATAATTTTTATACGTTTGGTTGATTTTATTGAGTTATCATTCTGTATAGTAAAACAATAACAAAATTAAATTAAAAATTAGTAAATGGTTAGCGTTCGTAAATTAATATAGATATTAATAAATAAATAAACGCTTGACTTGGAGTATTAATAATATTTATGATATACGGCGGGTTTGGAATTAAAAATGCATTATCAAGTAAATACAAACTCAATAAAATAGCAACTCGGAGCACTCTGACTCAATAGTCACGATTTTATTGGCTTTGTGTATATCTGATGATAAATTTTTAATTCGAAATCGATTGTACATTACAAATATAATAATACTACAGTATAAACAATTATTTATTTATTTCTGTTTTTAAATTACGTATTTATATATTAATAACATGTGACCGAATCGATTCCCTTAAAAATATATTTCACGTGAACATCATCATTTTCAAGGATTTTTTTAAGCGATTTTTAATCTATTAGAGATTTTAGAAAATTACATGTATCAAGTACCACATTTCGCAAATTAAATTTCAAATTGAATCAGAGATCTAAACGAAATGTCCAAAGCATTTTGATACACAAAAATAGTTTTGTGAAAGGTATCGTATCAATTCAAAACCAATACGTGTATAGTTTTGATCATAATCTAATAATACTGACGAAAAGACTTACTTCCATTCATCGAGAACCGCAAAAAGTGTAAAACGATAAAACTGATCACTGACATTTTTTGTGCTTTAATTGGGCTCGTACCTATTATGTGTATCGTTTACAATTTATATAAATCAATAAGCTGCAATTAATGGTGATATTAATATATTAAATTTATTTTAATATTATTTATTTATTATTAATATATTAATGGTGATGGTGGTGATGGTAAAAACGCCGTAAAAAAGAACACATATGCAATTTATTTTTTTACTTAAAAATTTAATCTCACTATAACTTTTTATTTTTATACATCTTAATAGTTTTAAACAGTATTTATTTCACTAATTTTAAAAACAATACACAATCGGCGGTTGTCTGTAACATTGTAGTTCGTGTTTATATTTTGATACAGATTTTTGAAAAGTATTCGAGAACGAGGTTACAAGTCAATATACTGATGTTTAAAAGAAGACGATTAGTTGTTGATTACTTATTGAAATATTTTACTCAAATTTGACGCTATTGTATGGAATAAAATCGACTAAATTGATTGATTGCTTGCGTCGATAGTATACGTATCTACATAGGATATTATATTTATTATGAACAGTTTGCGTTCGTCCCAATATCTCGCTGTTTTATTGCTTAATTTAAAATTAATGCATCAATTATCTATTAATATTTTTTTTTATGTTTTATTGTGTATAAAAAAAAAAGGTTGAAATAGGCTAACTTGTTGTTGACGCTATTATAAATAACCGTAATCCTGAGTATTGTAGTAAAATTATAAAACTCAATTTTTTCTCTCTTTTCAGAAAAAAAAAATCTGATAGTCAATATATTGTTGTGGTTTTTTTTTTCTTTAAATATCTTTTCTCGTTGATAATCGTTTATTGAGTGATATTTGTGAGAGTAGTGCAGATGTTTTCATTCACATGTTCTCCATTCTTATTCATGCCATTGGTTCTTCGGTTGAAATGATAAAAATAAAATGGATGTCAAATAAAAATATAAGCAAATGCGCCACGTCGATCTAGTCTCGGAACTAGTGCTTAGAACAAGGTTAGAATAACATAATGATTGTCAAAATGATAAATCCCAATGCGTTTCGCTGAAAGGTTATTTTATATTATATTATTTTTATTATGATTGATGGAAAGAATAATGAATTGATTGTCAATATTTTAAATATTCATTTGTGTATAAATATTGAAATTTTCGGTTTTATATTGTACGATGCGTGCACACGAATAACTCAGTTGTTGCACAAGTGTACATTAGAATTTAATTGTTTTTGACTAACCTATTACATTTTCAATACAATATTATAGTTTTGACTACATAAATTCAAAACGAAATCCAATTAAAATAACATAAATAATTTAAACATTTTACACGTTAAAAACATATTTTTACGTAGATAAAATAATATGTTTCAATATTTATCGAATAATTAGTTTACACGTCTTGTAGGGATACATACAAATACGTATTTGATTTCCATAGATAGTATTTTTATTTTTAAATAAAATGTTATTCTGCCGTTCACTCAATTCTTGGTATCCCGTGGAGATAGTTTCAATCACAAAGTACAATATAATTTATCGTAATATAAAAGCATTTTGCTCGCATACGCGCATAGTTCGTCTCATCATAAAATTTAATCGATACTTAAATAGCGTTATAACCAATGGTGGATTAGGGGGCAGGCTAAAAAGCTTATAGCCTAGGGCGGCTTTTTTGGGAGGGCGGCTATTTTTTTTTTTTATAGAATAAAATGTTATTATTGATTTATTAGGTATATTTATTTTAATATATTTTTTTTTATATTTGTCATATAAACACGAATAAAAATAATTTTAAAAAGTTATAATAATATATTAATATCTTCATTGTATGATGCGTACTTATTGGCTATAGTAAGAATATTACAATTATTATTACGATTTGAAAATATTTCATTTGTCATAAAATAATTACAGTTAGTTACTAGTTATTATTAATAACTTATTAATACCTATGTACTTATTGGGAACATCCGACTATCCAAGTATAGATATTTTCATATCTGGCTATTTATATTTCCGTTATGTGACTGTTTAAGCATTGTTCATTTGTACTGGTAATAATGGTATCTGAAATAAAATAATAGACATGGAATATTTTATTTTTAGAAGTTTTCTATTTTAAAGATTTTCTATTTTATATAATTTTTTTTTTTTTTTTTTATAAAAAACTGAATAAAATTTGAAGAGAAGGGTTTAGACCAAATATTGTTGGTTTCTTAGTAGAGTGATAGTAGGGGGGGTGAGTGATTAAGCATAGGTACGCCAAAACACTAAATCCGCCACTGGTTATAACATCTGGTTTTTAATAATTTTATGTTAAACGTGTCTGGGTATCAAATATAATTTAATCGAGCTACAATTTGGATTTATTTGGAAACTCTGAACTTTTTTTATAACTGAACGTTTTTAACGTGACGAATCTCTATGACTCATACTAAAAAATAAGCACCCATGATTCACGAACGATTATAAGCTTTCAAATGAATCATTAACTAAGTACCATAGGTTTAATAGGTAAAATTGATTTTTTTTTCTTGAAAAATTACTCAATAGTTTTTTTCCTTTTGGCATATTTTATTCGTGGCCAGGGCGAACAATATTTAAATTCATATACTGTTAACCATCTACGAGTTCGATCGTGGCGTGTTTGATCGCGTGAGCATTTCGTTGATTGCGTTCGGTTCGCCGCCTAATATTGTACGATGAATCATTTGCGCCAAAAAAAAAAAATCAAACTTATAACATTATATATTAGTATTCATTAAAATAAAGTTTTTGAAAAACATACCGTAGTCATACACTAGGTGTGCACGGGTAATGTCACGTGACTTATGCGTGGTGCCACGTGTGTTTGATCCCAAATATATCAAATATAAAAAAAAAAAAAAAAAAAGGGAACACAATAATAAAAAAGGTAATGTACACATATTTTGCCCTACCTTTCATAATGGTTAATAACGTGGAGTAGATTTTACAGTGGTTTCGATTGAATAATTTATATGAAAAAAAAAAAAAATCAAAATAAAACAAGAGCCTGCAACCTCCTCAAAAAAAAAAAAAAGTGAAAAAATCCTTATACATTTTCGTGATTACCATAAGCGTTTAAAAGATTTTTTTAGCCAAAAGAATCATGATAGTAACATTTTAATTTTTTTTTTTTTTAAAAAACCATTAAAAAATACATATTGTTTATTTTTTTTTTTACAGAGTCTGACGTGATGATCGGTGACATGGGAGAAGCCAATGTTGGTGAGTAAAAAATATATTTTGTCGAATTATTTTAAGTAATAAACCCTGGAAATGAAATGGAAAGATATCCAATTTGGAAACGAGAATAATTATATTCGGTCGAAATCACGATGTGATTGAAAAAAATGATAAGCTATAAGAGGATTTCTAAGCTTTAAATACATGTTAATTCAATGTTCATATACTTATTTGTATATAAACACAACAAAAATAAAATATTTTTGTATAATTAAATGCTATTTTAGGAATATATGAAACATATAAAATCGAGCTTTAGAGAACCCCTGCCACCCGAACGAATGGAGATCTGCTTTTAAATACCACTGTACATTTTTCAAGTTATAGTGCAATTAGGATGAGTTGAACGTTTTATTTAAATTAATTATAAAATATTAATTTACTAATGTATTAGTATACCGAATGATAACTTGACTAATTGTTTCTTAGTGTGACGTGGATACGGAAAATTGAATTAAATACAAAATTATTTTAGTTTTAGCATAAGTATGCATTTATCGAACCATATAGAAAAAATAAAATAAAACTCTAATACTTAGTCATTTCAAGTCACTGTTGTTCGTTCTATTTTTGAAAAATTATAGAAAAAGAAAAAAGTACCTCGTGTTTTGTGAGCATAAAAATGTAGAATAGTTGTAACTGAAGTGGTGCATGTCACAAAAACTCGAAGATTTGGGTGGTTACTAGTTACGTCCTGCAGTAAAAATGTCTTTCAATTTGCGGCCCGAGTATTTTTGCGGAATACACGAATTGCGGTCCGTGTGCATGGTATCTCTCTCTTATTATTTAATACATACAATAATACATCTTGAATTTCGTTTTCCTTCTCATTTTTACGCAGACTTAGGACTGTCTGTAATATCAGTACTACAGTTTGATTTGTATTTGATTGAATATAATCTATAATTGTTATTATATATAATAAATCTTTATGGTACAGCAAAATTAGAAAAGCAACGAAATATTCTTAGTCGTTATATTTATTTTTTATCAGTCAACATCGAAAACTGTTTTGAAATAATAGAAATCAATATGTTATAATGTTACAAACCATACAAAATACATATAAGTTCTGACTATCGTTACTACCGTGTGTAGAATGATAATATTATGAAGGTCTGATGGATATGGCAAATATTAATCGGACCGTAATTCGGATTAGACTCTTTTTCAAAAATATCTTTAGGACACAATTAGTACGTGGCTGTATTTTTATAAGCGAATGCTTGAAATAAAAAAAAAAAAAACATTTGATCGGCACAAATAAGATAGATGAAGTTGACTTCACATTTTAAAGCCGGAATAACGTTTTCAAAACAGGTTTGAATTCTCCCGAAAAAAGAAATCACTTAAAATAGTTTGATATATAACATGTGTACTTATATCGTGTACGTATGTCACTATTAAGGATCATTGTATTATTTTGTATGCACTGTTAAAATTTTATTTACGGTATTTGAGATAAAATAAATCATATTTCAAGCTATAAGTATAATCTTTTAGATGTGTATTATGTATAGAATAATATAAATCTATTACAACTAAATGATAATATAATTATTTATCATAAATTTTAAAATATAACTCACGGCATAATAATTAATCCAAACATTATTTAGTGTAAATACAATTGATTTAAATTCAATTTTAAAATTATATTTCCAATTAATTTCTTATTAGACAGTTTTTGAACACATATTATACATTCAACCGATCCTACATAATGCAAGATTTATGACAAACGTCGTCGATGGAAATTCCTTTTTTTTTAGTGCAACAAACAAAGCCACTTACATTCTCCAGATGGCATTACTTTTGAATCGATATAGGTTGTCAAAATGATTAATACTTCAGTTAAAGTAGTATCTAACTTAATTCTAAGCGAAGTATTATGACGAGTTATCATGGATAATTTTCACAGTGGAGAAGTTCTGGTTAAATTGTCCAACATAAATACAGTTATACGAACAATTAACTCATTACGAAGTAGGACGAGTCCGTCTATATTGAAATATAATTTATTTTAAATGACACACGTAACAATTGATTCATTTTAAATTATGACGGAAAAAGCGGTCTAAATCGATCACGATGATATACTTTTCATGACATAAAATACTATATTGTTGACGCTGAATATTACAATTGATTTTCATAAATTCTTTAGAACTATACCTAAAAAAATAATGCAGTTGTACAAAAAGTTATACGTAGAAATTATAAGAGTAATATATTGTCTATGACTTTCTGAGCCTCAACTACTTACAAAAATGAAAGAACAGAACATACTAAGAACCGAAAATTCTACAGAACAACTTAATTTCTTAAAATTTTAAATCCTCAGTTTGCATTGAATCGTAACTTTGAATCTGAAAATATGAATACATTAAACATCTCACCTTGAATAACTGATTACCTGTTTTACTCTGGACAATCTTTACAGCGTCAAGTGTCGAATCACAAATCAAGCAAAGTTCATATGAACTGTTCAACGTCAACTGCAAGAAGCATTATATTAACATTATATTATAACTATGCCTCTAACATTCATAATACTAAATTATGTAAAAATTTAAATAATGAATAAATTATTTATTTTTTTTAGTGAGCAGTTTACATAACATGTGTATTTTATCATACAATTTGTACAGTTAAAAAAAAAAATTAAATTCGTTGAATATTTACTGTAGAATTTAAAAACATATAAACATATTTTAGAATAAAGCGTCTCAATCATGAATTTTGCTCTAAAAATTACTAATATAACTAATAAGTTGTTGTATACATACACTCTATTAGATTTAATTACTTTAAAACTTGGTAAAAACAAATGTATTGTTTTAATTACGTTTTTCAGAGTTTATTTTTGAAAATAATAATAGTTCAACGATTTAGTGATTATAACTATATTATTAATCGAATGGCAATGCAATTTATATCCGATAATATTTGAACGGTTGTATATGTGGTAAAAATGGATTCTTTTCCTCTAAAAAATAAAACGTGTACCTATCAGAAAATATATTTTGTATACAACAATAATAAGTAATGTTTGGATTGATTTTAAATTCTAATTAAAAAAATATCATACTTAATTATATATAGTAATGATTTGAAATTTGTGTAGGTTTAAATTAAAGATAAATAATACCTACTGAAATTAAATATTTTATATTTATTTTTTTTTTTTTTCATTAAAATAAATTTACAAACCCTACAATACACAACAATGAGTAAATATGATAGAATATAATTGACATGAATAACACGATTGGCGGAAGAAACATATTGTATTTCTTCTTTCATGATGTATTTCTTTATAAATTTCACGAATTTATGTACGTATGATATGACGGTATTGTGTAGCGAACGGTTCATTTTTTACGAGTAGTTCTTTCAGTCACCTATTAATTACTCTAATAATGTAGTATTTTCGAAACAAAATATTTATAATTACCTATTAATCTTCTTGTGTCCATCTCGTTCCATATTAAATACTCGTAATCGAATCATTATATTGTATTCTTGGTAATTTATGAGAATTTAATTATATAATACTTACTTATTTACTATAATCCATCATTTCTCAAGGAAAATAATTATTTTTTAAATCGTATTTTAAACATTCAGAACAAACAGTTTCCTTTGTGCAGGCTATTGAGATAAATTACTTGTTAGTCTTGTAAACCAAATTATAATTATTACTATGCTCATATTTTGTTTTTGTTTCATCTAAAAGATAATGAGCCCTGCATTAAACGTGCGGCCGTGTGTAACCTGCCCGCGATATTTCACATCAGAATAAAACTATAAAAACTATACAACTGTAAAACAAATAGTTTCATTTTAAAATTAATTCGCGAGAACAATAATGAAATATAAAAGTTGAATATAAAGCAACGCGTTTTTAGTTATTATATTGGGAGGAGGGGGGAACAAATTAATAAAGATTAACATTTTTTTTCCTTTTGCACACGAACCAAATCGTGATAATAGAATTATAAAGCTTTTAAATTAATTACTTTAAGAATCAAATGGTATAATTACTGCAAAGATAGTACAATAGTTTATATTATCTTTAAGACTTACAGATATATTTAATTGTGTTCACAAAAAAATATCGACTGTATTGGTTTTATTTGTACTCTGGGCAAGTTAAAATTTCGAAACTACTACAGTATTATCCGACGCGATACACGTTTGAAGCGCAAACGTTTTCACCCGTACGCATATTATATGTTCATACGGTTCGTAATATTTTTGACTTGTCAGTTTTGCACATTTCGGTGTACACGTGCGTCGTATCACATTCGGTGGACGGTTTGGAAATTCTCGAAAAGTTTTCGGGCCGCATTATTATCCGCAACGCATTAACGTGACGACAAAATTATCAATTTGTTTATCCTGCCGTTGATTGGAAATCCGAGTTATAACTGGGAGTACAACCAGCATATAGCACCGAAGTTTCTAGTCTTAAAGTTTCTTCGCGAATTTCCAGACTTCGCTAGAAAGATTTCTAGACACATGAAACGCAATAATTATGTTATCTGAAACTGTTGGTAAATTATGACCTACATGAAAACACGGAAACATATTTTTATTTTTATTGTTATTGTTAAAAACTTACTTTCATTGTTATTGTTTTACTATTGCCGTTAAGTTGGAAAAATATATAATTGTACTTCAAAAAGTAAAAGAAAATGTATCAAAGTTGTAAGTTGCATAAAAATAACCCTTTGGTCTCTTTTCCTATCGTTTAGAGCAGAGGTGTCCAACCCGCGTCCCTTGGTAGATTTTGATGCGGTCTCACTTAAATTTAAAAACCACTAACTAATTGTATAAAATATATTAATACTACGAGAACAAATTTATTTGCTGGTCGATGCACAAGTCCGTGTTTTTACCGTTGCGGCACCTTATCTTATATTATATACGGACGTGTGCATCGGGCCTAAAGATAAACTTTATTATTGTTTTATCTT